CCACAATGCTACTACAGCAGAGATGATGTAATGGTGCTGGAAGACCTTACACAGCATTATCGACATCTCAAAGCCAATGAGAGTTACAGCCAGGAGCATTATAAGTTGGTCTTGGGTCATTTGGCCGCTCTACACGCAGCGAGCATCGCCTGGGAGGAGGCGGAACAGTTTAATATTGGCGAGCGTTACAAGAATGTATTCAAAGAGCTGCTAATGAACACGGAGAACGAGTGGTTTATCACCGGATTAAAGGTGAATAGATCTCTATATATATATTATATATATAAATTACCTTATTGATTCTTCATTTCTAATATTATTCTTATAGGGCATCGTTTTCTTGGCCGCTCGACATGTCAAATACCAAACGGAGCGCGCTCAAACTTTCATAAGAGAAGAACTCTTTCGCCTCCTGAGCGAGACGGAACATCTTGTAAAGCCCTCGAAGAGCATAAGAAATGTGCTATGCCATCGCGATACCTGGGATCGCAATATCCTCTTCGGGTTCGACAGTCCGACGGCCAGCTTGCCGAGCTCTTGTTGCCTCGTGGACTTCCAGTTGACGCAGTATTGCTCGCCCAGCTTGGACGTGCTCTTTCTGCTCTATATATTGGTGCCCTCGGCCCAGGAGAGACGCAACATGTATGATCAGGCATTGGAGTACTATTACGATGCTCTTCAAGCTGAATTTATGCGCCTCGGTCTGCCCGCTAATCTGATTAGCAGGTCAAACTTTCTGGAGGAGTGCGAGCGAACGCGCTTAGCTGGCTTGACTATGAAGGCGCTGACCGAGCCACAGACCAAGATGTTGGCTGTGATTAGCAATAAGCTGCGCTCAGAGGAGCCGGAGAAGTTCGACTTCTACTTGAATTGTGATCGCAGCGAAATGTATTTGAGAGTCATGCAAATGCAGCCAGGCTATGAGGAAACGATCATGGAGCCCATAGCAGAGCTGGTTGACTATCTCATGGAGCGGGAGAATGTCTCCGCCTGATAAAGTTTATCCTGATTAAACAAAAAGAAACAAGTGCTTCGACATGCATTTTTTATTTAAAGACCTAACAGTTTGAACTGGAACTAGAGACACAAAATATATATTTGCTTAGGTATATAGAATCTAGCTAGAGAGATGGCATACATAAATATATATAATAATGTGTATATACTCGTATATATGTATATATGTTTATATATTTATTTTTATGGCTGTATAATACTAGCTTCGAGCCGGACTCGTCTCTGGTAATCCGCATTTGAATTGTGAAAAGCCTAGCTAAGTTTAAAAGGCGTCTTTGTTGACTGGACTCGCCAGCTAATCAGTCCAGCAATCCTCGTTGGCATCATCTTCGTCGTAGTCGCGCACATTGAAGTCCTCGTGGAATAGATCCTCGCCCTCCTCTTCGGAGGACTCCGACTGTCATCTGATGCCGCTGACACGCTGTGGCAGACTGATCACGCCCTTGGGCGGCCGAGGCATTCGAATGCTGGTGGCTGTGCCCGCTGCCGCCGATGTCGATGCCTTGCCAGAGACACTGGGTATCAGCTGGGCATTGAGAACGGTTGGCTGATCGAAGCAGTTGCAGCAGTACTTATCGCAGCGCAACAGCAGCGTCAGTCCGCTCAGCACCCAGACGAGCACGCCGGGCCAGGCGTGCACCGCACAGGCCGAGAAGAAGACGACGCTCAGCAGCAGGCAGAGGGCGCAGAGCACGGGACTCACATTGATGACGCTGCCCGTGTACTGCGGTATTATGCCCATCATCATGGCCACAATCAGAACCCCGATGGCTCCAGTGAAGGCGGCTGGTGCCCAGTGCAGCACCAGCCCGGCCACGCACAGGGCGATGCCCAGGCCGATGACAACTATCGAAAAGATGGTCACGCGCCAGGAGCTCACTGTGGGCACACGCACGCTGCGCTCCATTGGACCCGCTGTGGTCACCTGCAAAGTCGTACAGCTGGGTTAGGTTACTGGCTATAGTGGGTGCTGACTGAGCTGGCATACCTTTATCTTTTGTCGATACTCATCAACGATGGCATCAATGTCCGTTGAGGTGTCCGAGTCAGTTTTGTCAAACTTATCGGGATACTCAAAGTCCGAAGGCTGCAAGAAGGTAAGAAATGATATGTAAAGGAAAAATAAACAAATCTAATTGAAAGCTAAATCATAATACTCTCGGGATTTTCTGTCCTTTCAGGCCACTGGGGCCTTTAGCTTGATATATTGTTTATATATTTTCTTCACAGTTTTCTCTACTTATCTGCAACTCTATGCTCACCGGTGGCTCGCTGTCGGAGAGAACCGTGGACTCCACATCTCTGCCCTCGCGCTGCGGACAAGGTGAGGTGGGCTCGCCCAGGAGCAGCCACTCCTTTTCGACTTCGGGCTTAGTTCGTTGTTTGTTCTTTGGCTTCTTCATGGCGCGCTGCTTGTGCAAACCGAGATTCCAGAGGCTGCGCCTCACGCGACTTGAGCTGGCGGTGGCAGCGCTGCTGCAGCTGCTGCTGCTCTTGGCAATGGGCGCCGTGGAGAGGCGGCTGTAGGAGAGGGAAGACTCACTGCTGCTGGGCTGCATGAACTTGGGCCGATACGGCGTGTACAGCAAGTAGAAGGCACGCAGAAAGCCGGCCGTCAAATGGCTAGCCGCCAGGCAGTAGCTGAGATGCTGCAGCGGGCAGGCGAAGGCCAGCATGGCGCACAGGCTGCCCGCTATGAAGACGGCCAGGACGGGATTGCCGCTGTCAGAGCTCTCGTAGCTGATTTGCTTGCTGAGAATGCGCCACTCCGAGGTGGCCAGGCGCACCACAATGCCGTACAGCTCGGGAAAGATTTCCATAAAGGCCGCCGAGCTGGTCAGCAGCAGCATGCAAGCCGAGGCTGGCACCAGCTTATGGAAGCCGCTCTCATCCAGAATATTGAAGAGCGGCACGGCCACATAGTCATCGCGCAATCTGTTGAGAAAAGTGAGCTCGGAGAGTAAGAGTATTGATATTGATGGATAAAGATGTTCGACTTACTTGAAATGCACCACTGTGGATAAGCAAATGGCGGTTAGCAGCAATGAGATGCAGACCAGAGCAAAGACCATGATCGCTGTGCTGCGTGCGCCGCGATGCTGCTGAGGCAGAACGCTGGGTACTGCGTAGCTCAGCAAGGCGGTTGTCAAGAGGAACTGCAAGAGTGGAGTGAATGAGATAGAGATACGATACAGAGAGAGAGAGAGGAGGAGGAACAAAGAGAGGGAGAGGGAAATATATACATTTATGGATATATAAGAGATAGAGAGCGAGAGAGATGGAGAGGGACAGATAAGGTAATGAGAGAAAGAGAGAGCGTTAGGGAAATATTGAGGGGATTTAATTAGAAAATGATAGAGAGAATGATAAGAAAGAGGTAGAGAAAATGAAAGAGTGACAAATGGAAATAAATTTAGTGAAAGAGAGAGAGAGATATAGAGCGAGAGGAGATATACAGGAAAAGGAAGAAAGGAAGGATAGGGAAAAGAGATATACAGGGAGGATACTTTTAGCATTCACTTATTACAAATGCATTTCTGCGAATTTTCAGCTCTACTATATCCGAGAATTCCCATGAGTTAGAGCCTACTAGCTTCCATGCAAGCAATTATAATAACACTCACATAACACAGAATTCTTCTACACCAACAAAACCCACGCGCCTAAGCAGAAGATCCCATGCTAAACAAAACAAAACAAAACAAAAAACTTTGACGTGTCATAATCAAAAGCTCACATCCTGCGCCTTCTATTGTCGCCAGTCACGAAAGCCGGCGGCGGCAACGCGACCAAAAATCGATAAAATACAAAAAAATAAAATAGGAACAGCTAAGGAAATGGCGAAAAGTGCACTGACCCAATAACACGCCCATTACCGGACTATCAAAGGGAGGTAGGTGAATGTGAGAGAGTGAGAGGGAGAGTGTTGTAGGGGAAGTGAGGGAAATGATCCACTTACACTGTTAATGCCATTTGGCTGAAAGTAGTTCTCCGACCAGGCCAAAAAGTCGCCACGCCACCAGCCCACAGCGCTGAGAATTGCATTCAGACCAAACATGCCGAGAGTCATAATAAAACTGAATGCTTTCGAGTGCTGCAGCGAGAAAGAGTTGTAAGAGTTAGCAAAAAAAAAAAAATGAGGAGGGCGTGTTGCAGGCTGCATACCTCGAGGCCCAGCATGAACATGCCAGTTACCAGAAATACGACGGCTACGCCAAGTACATCCGGCCAGGGTTCGTTTGCAGGCGAGTTGCGGCCTGAAAGTAGGCAACGAAATTTGTTAGATTACAGGGCCACAGTGCAGGCAGAAATATTAGGCATACCCAGTATCAGTATTCGGGCCAAGCCGCCCGTCATGGCGTCCAGACAGGCGCTCAAGGTCCGTGCCAGCACTGCACAGGCGCACATGGCCGTCAGTGCGTCCATCCAGATGGCCAAGAAGAGGCAGCCAAAGTCAAATTTGTTCGTAGCGCGCACATAGGGCATCTGCAGGCTGCGCAAGCTCGACTTGCAGCGCGCTGTAAGGTAAGGCAGAGAATATATATATAAATATGCACAGATATACATATATACAGTAGAAAACGCTCGAAGGATCGTCGTTATGCCCGGAAGAGAGCTCATATAAGACTGTCTGAGTCGGAGTCTTTATAACGGCATTTCACTGTATATACGTTAACTTCTGGCTGCCTACTCACCGGCCATGGCACCGTAGACGATGGCCAGCAGCGTGGCAAAGACGAGAGCCGGTGCGGCTGCCTCATTGTAGGCTATCAGGTAGGCAACTATGGACGTGCCCAGCGCCAGGCGAGCGCCGCTGCCGGAGCAGAGCGCCTCAAGCAGACTGCAAACAGAAAAGAAAAAATCGTAAAATTAATTAAATCGGACGGCAAATGGCAATTAAGATTTAATGAGATGCTGGCCAGGACACGTGTGAAGACATCACGCCCACACACAATGCCCGCGCCGAATGGACAGCTATTGAGGCCCATCATCGTGGGGATCGGATTGTGTTTGCTCTCCAGCTGTTGCATGACTCATTTGACATTCCCTTGTCCTTTGGCAGAGTATCCTGTTTCGTAATTGAAGCTCTTTTTTCCCTCTTTTGGCCAATTTACTGTTTATTGTAATCGCATGCACAGTTAATGCATATTTCAGGGCCATCATTATCCTTAATTATGGGGAAATTGTCTGGCTAGCTCGCGGCTAGTTCTAAGTAAATTTGCCAAATTGGCTTACAAACTGAATAAATAATTGCCTGAGCTCATTCCCCGCACACGATGTGGCTTCCCTATCGACTTTTCCCAGCAATTACTTTGCAGCTTTTGGGCTACTCTTTCGTTTTATTTATAGCCGCAGCTAAGCAAATAATTCGCAAATAAAACACTTTCGTTCTCTATGGCTCGCATAAATGTCAGATTCACTTCTGTCGCCTCTGTCTCACTTTTTGTTTATCCGTCTGTCTGGCAGTTGTTGCTATGTGTTGTTTAGTTGTTTAATTTTGGCTGTTTAGTGCGTGACTAGCCAGCGACCTAAACAACTCACTAAACAAGGTTTTGGCTTAAAAGAATTGGGTTGCCTACATGGTAATAATTGCATAATCAATTTGAGATGATGTATGGGAAAATGTAATTGCAAATATTTAAATAAAATGAAAGTTAAGCATAATTTGTATATTAATAAATAACAAATCTTATGGATTATTTTTACTTTTCATTTTTCTGAATTATATTTTTGTTAAGCATATTTATAAATATTAATAAATGACAAATCTTATGAATTATTTTTATTTTTTATTTTCTGAATTATATTTGTAATTCTCAAGTTCTTTTAAAGTATAATATTAAAATTCACTAAAAAATATATATTTAATACTCTACTTATGTTTATATAGATAGAAAACAAACTTAAAATGTTTAATTTATCGTTATACAACAAAATTCCCTTAATATTTAAAAAAGACAGTTTCAAAGGGAGGCAAAGTTGAATTTGAAAATTTAAAAATTAATAAATAAATAAATAAATAAACTACGTTTCTTTTGTAAAC